CCTCCCTGGGCTACACTGCAGGGATACTTACGTTAAGAATAAAGTCTTGACTGCAATATAAAGGAAGGAAAAAGGGAAATCCTAATCAGCACCATATTTTCAGCCTGGTTTCACAGGAGAGAGAGGCTCTTGGATCACACTATGTCTACACAAGTGTGGACCCTGGTAGTGTTTGAACCCTTCAGCCAATTTCAGCCACTCTCACAGGGAAGCTGAGAACTCAAATGTATCATGTTCCAACAGGTTTCATAAAACAGGGAGCTGAGTAGGGGAGAGGGACTCTGTAACTGAAAGAAGCAGGGTCCTGCCCCTTCCTCAGTGTCAGAGCACCCCATGGGAACTCACCTTTGGGGCCCAATCCTGTAGGAAACCAGGCTGCATTAGTGACCCTGCAGGCAGGTTCCTGCTTTTCTGCAGGCACGCAGTGACAAGATGCCACTTAGCCACAGGCACAGTTTATTTCATTTCTGCCATGATTTGTCAGGACAGTGGCCCAAGTTCCTTAGAAATTTTTGCACGAGCAGGATGGGAGTGACTCCTGCTTGCAGCCGAACATGAAAGCTAGTTGGCTTGTACCTTGCTCCAAGAGTGCTGGCACTGTGAAAAAGGCGATGATGGGGAATGCAACAGTTAAATGTAGATGTAGCAGTTGTATATTCCTCTTTCTTTTGAAATACTGTCATTAGTATTTCAAGCTTAATTTCAGGGAGTGGACCAACTTCACTGGAGTCAGTGGTGCTATGGTAGTCCTCATCTCTTGAGCATAAGCCCAAGGATCCTTTGTAGTACATCAGTACCTGCTCTATCCACATCCTTGCCCTCTCCACATATCACAGCTGAAATGATTTGAAATGTTCTGGGGTTTGTAGTACTTGGACATTTAAAAAATTGGTTACTTTTATCCTGAGACTGCCCCTGAACTGCACTCAGGAGCACAAGGAACTGAAAATACCAAGAACTGGAGCCAAACAATACCCAGTGGCCCTACAAAACTGCATTTGTATGTGTGGCAATTGCAGGTTCTTTCAGCCACATGCCAGTTAGTGCCTCTCAGGACTGTTAGTTTGTGTTCAGCCTATCTCAGAGGTTAGAGTGTGGCCCTTGCATTCATCCCAGAAGATACTCTGGGTAACGTGAAAACAGTGAAATCACTTTGCTTGGTCCCAAAAGTCAGTTTTCATGTTCAGCCCCAGTATCCTGATGGGCCGTCTGTCTCCCCAGAGGCTTTCAAGGCTGATCAAAGACATTGTTTTAGAGGGAGACCTACCCCATGCTTACTAGATGAAAGGATCAATGTTTGAAGAGCTTATGTAGGAACCATGAAAGAAGGATTTTCAGGGCTCCTTCAGAGTTTTCAAGGCTCCCTTGAAAAATGGAGCAGAAATAAGAAAGGAATGTAGGAAGGAAAGTCTGTGGAAGCAGAAGCAATGTTTGAAAGCCTAGTGGGGAAGTGCTTTATGTAGCTTATATCCAGCACTGGGAAGAAGAGCCAGGATTGAAAATACAAGCTTAAAAAAGAATTGCTGGAGCAAGGCTACCTGAGAAGGGAGGTGATGGGCAGGCCAACACGGAGCTGCCAGATGTATGTGTGAGGAGAGAAATTAAAAATACTGCGCCATTTCTGGGAAGGCTGTTCTCTCTTGCCAGGGCAGGTATTGCTTTGTGTAGGTGGTCATTAGTCAGACAAATGGGGCTCTTCATCAATAAGGGGTTGGAGGACCAAGACTGCCGTGCTGCAGCATCCCTGCTGACTGGGACAAATGCAGAGAGGATGAAGACATACTGCTGCTACCATGGGTTAGTAGCACCACCCAACATGTTTGGTGGTGGTTCGCTCATACCGTAAGCTTTGAGCAAGGACCTTACACCACTAAAGCTAGAGCTGACTGTGGGATGGACTGGAGAGTTGGGCTTTCTTTGAAGCAGAGTAATAGTCTGCAAATCTAAAAACTGACCAGTAAATGCTACAATAAATACTGACCAACAGATTACACTACTTACTTTTTTTTCCCCCTCCAAGCCCTCTTCTTCCTCTTGTTAGCTGTCTTTCTAGTAATGGTTTTTCCTTTTCAAAACAGCCATTACCAAAACTTGCGCTAGCAGCTTGGCATCATCTCCTTGTATTTTCAGAGTTTGACTAAGGACGTTGCTGTAGGCTACAAATCTGCAGAAATCAACCTCCATGTTCTGCAGGAGCGAAAAACAGCAACATCAGGAGTCTTGGGGAAGTTTTAATAATACCTCTTAAAGCAAGGGACCATGAAAGTGCAGTATGTCCCTAATAAGGTCCAAGGAGGGCGGGTGAAAATCCTGGTTGATTGAAATTGGAAGGCAGAGAAGGGGCTGGGCCGCAATGTTGTCATTCTTCCCAAGTGATGGTCATCAGTCCATGTTTGGCTCTGCCTCTCCCGTTCAGGTATACCCCCCGCAAGCGGCACTGGCACTCTGCAGATCTACCTAATCGACATCAACGATAATGCTCCTGAGCTCCTGCCAAAGGAGGCACAGATCTGTGAAAAGCCAAACCTGAATGTCATCAACATAACAGCCGCGGATGCTGACATCGATCCAAACGTTGGGCCCTTTGTCTTTGAGCTGCCAAGTGTGCCATCTGCGGTGAGGAAGAACTGGACCATAACACGGCTGAATGGTAAATGGGGCAGGCAATCCTGAGGACGTTTGGACTCTGATTCACTAATGAGGCCACGTGCGGTTTCAAACTTCCACACTTTCCTACTTTTTTATCTGATTTTTATTTTTTAAAGCACATTATGGCTGACATTATAGACAAGATAGTTAATCAGAAATGATTTGTATCAGACCTGCAGCATAACTCTAAGAGCCTTGGCACTTGGCTTTTTTTAATGCAGTTCATAATTATGAACAGTGATCAGTAGTGAACAGAGTATAAATCATCCGTAATGGCCAAGGGGAAAAAAGCTATTATCAGTCTTCCTTATGTTCCAGTGTAATTGTCATAAGCCACAATCAGGATCAATGTTCATTTCTCTGACCATAATTGCATAAAGGCAGCCTTTTAATTTACCAGGGAACTGGGAGGGCTAGGTAGGTGTGAAGATTACCAGTATGTGAAAGATTTTGATATTGCAGCATGCAACCACGAATGGCCCTAATTGCTCCTCTTATTGGTAGTTTCAGCGGAGGATGGAAAATATCGTGGTGCCATGGGCTGGTTTTGGCCTCAAAGCTGGTCCCTGTCGCTGAGGTCTGGCACCCTCTGCGAGGCCAGGGGGAATGGCTTCTGCTCTCGCAGCTCGGGGCTCAGTGCCACAGCTCTTCTGTCGCAATGGAAGGGGACACGAGAAGGATTACCTGGCTGAGCATATCACTGAGAGGTGATGGGCTTCCCAAAAATCCCGAGGTGGGAGAGTAAGTGAGCAGAGAGGCTGCACAGTGGCCAGGGGCAGCCCAGGGCCAGGGAACACCATCTATGCTTTAGTATTTGCATCTCATGCCATTTTAAACGCGTGCAACTGGATTTGCAAACGGCATCAAGGCAGGTTAGTGCAGCAGTGAGAACATACAGTATTTTGCAAAACCCAAGCTGATCGTTGGCCAGACCATTAGGGCAGAAGTCTGAAGCTGTCCTGCCCAGGTGTGTTGTTGATAGCCTCTTCAGGACTCAGAAGACTGCTCTGGCAGAGGAGCTCTGCCTGTACAAGTGTGACTGCAAGGCTCTGCCAGTGTGTGTCATCTGTCTGTCTGTCTGTCTTGGTCTCTCCAGGCGATTACGCCCAGCTTAGCTTACGAATCATGTACCTGGAAGCCGGTGTGTACGATGTGCCGATCATCGTGACGGACTCAGGAAACCCGCCCTTGTACAACACATCCCTCATCAAAGTGAAGGTGTGCCCGTGCGATGAGAACGGCGACTGCACCACCATCGGGGCGGTGGCTGCAGCGGGGCTGGGCACGGGTGCCATCATCGCCATCCTGATCTGCATCATCATTCTACTGAGTGAGTACCGCAGGGGCCAGCACTGCCGGGAGACGTCGTGTTTCCCATCCTGTTCCCCATTGTCCCTTGCTACACGTGGTATTTTTCAAGAGCCGGGTGAGCTCCGTGCGAAGGACAGAGCCGTGAGCTTTGAGCTGCGGGGTCCTTTGCTGCAGTGTCAGCAAAACCAGCCAGAGAACTCTCTGCATGCGTTGGGACTTCTCTTTCCAAGACTTTCAGTAGCTTTACAAACATCACTGCACCTGACAACATCTTGTAGGTGGTAAGGGCAATATGATTCAACACATTTTGTGGGAAAAAGTTGAAGGACTTGTCCAAAATCCTGTGGTAGACTCCCCCAGAGCTCTCAAGTCCCTGACTGGTTGTGAATATACTGGTTCCCAGTAGCAGATGCACTGGTTATGAGGGTGTGGGTAGTCCCTGGCAGAGCCATTGCGTAGCTGTAGTTTTCTGGTTGTTCATAGGAAGAGAAGAATGGTAATTATTCTCATTGCTTGTAAAATTACAACAGATTGGAAAATCACGGTGGATTGCGAGTGGTTTTAGAGGAAGGATCCCCAGTTTGTCAGGATCACTGGAGGGACATCACAGACAAAGGCTGGCCATCCTTTGGCTCGAGGCAAAGCCTGTTCACCCAACACCACTGTTAGTCCTGGGCTTTCATGAGCATTACCAATAACCATGTGTGCGCACACTTAAAAATAAAAATGATATCATTATAACTTCAAGCAGGAGTTGGCACAGTAGGAGTAGATAAAAACGAGTGCTGAAATGAACAATGAGGTAAATATTCATCAAGAAACACAGGATGAAACCATGGGACTCCCATTAAAGCTAATGGGAGTTATGGTGCTAAATCACATTTAATATTTACCCCCAATGTGCTTAAACAGAGAGCAGACAGAGCGACGTATGCTACAAATGTCACCTAATGTGGGTATGATATGGTACATTAGGAGAATGGGTCATCTCTGGGCAAACATCCACCCTCGTGGGCCACCAACAGGAATATATAGCTGTGTAATTGGTTTACCGTGTCTGTCTGGAGAGCGAGAAAGAAAATCAGGGGTTTGTGGCCCTGCAGTCCCCGCTCCTCATCCAGCCCATCTGAGCTGGGGGAGGCATCCCCATGCGTAGCTGTTTTCCCAAAATCTGGGGTTCGTTCGCCCGCTGTGCAATAAACCAGTCCACACCCTGAGCCGAGATATTGCTTTATTACAAAATTGCACAAATTCAGTGAACATTTATACAGTATGTATTAGCATATTTACATATTCAGTGTTATTCTTTTAGACAATTAGTTAATTTTCTCTCACCTAGTATGTAAATTAGTTCATATGCTCAGTCCTTCACCTCTGCCTTTTTCTTTTCTGTCTGGGTCATGTTTAGGGTAGGTGGTCCGTGAGTCGGTGGTCACAGTCTGCCCCTGCCAGAATTATCTTTCCCCCAGTTACTGCTGATTCTTGCTTACTTTATATTTGGGATATTCTTCCAATCTCTTAAACCTTCCTCCTAGCAAGATGTTTTCCTTGTCAGTCTTTGAACTCCTTTCTTTGGCTCCTCCTTTAGTGATTAACGTCTAGCAGAGTCATCAACACTTGGCCAGATGTTTTGGATTCACGAGGACACATGTCCTCCTCTTGATGTATATTTTAAGGCTTCTCCGCTATCCCTTATTATTTTAAAGGAAACAAAGCCCAGTACATTTTTTCATGAATACATGTTTTTTCAGGATGTTCCTCTTTTAAGAACGGTATATTTTAAGGCTTCTCCACTATCCCTCATTATTTTAAAGGAAACAAAGTTCAGTACATTTTTTCATGAATACATATTTGTCCAGGATGTTCCTCTTTTAAGAACGGCTTGAGAGGCATCCCTGCCCATGACAGGGAGGTTGGATTAGATGATCTCTGAGGTCCCTTCCAGCCTATGCCATTCTATGATTCTATAATCATCCTGGTTTCAAGCATTATGTACAGATTTGCTTAAAGTACAACAAACAAGCTACTATGTACATGCAAGCAGGCCACTAACTTAAGTCTTAGCAGATTCAAGCAAATCCTTCGCTTAAACCTTTTAACTTTTCCACGGCCAGACACCATAGCCACAATTTCTGTCCTTCATTGGGTGTGGGGTCCCAGTAGCACAATCTTTTAGGCTGCTGCCTTCAGGAGGGGCGTTTGTTGCGAAGGCACCACATTGCACACCCAGAAGAAGACGCGGTGTTGGTCAGTCCCACCACATTCGGTACACTGGGCTGTGCAGGCACGCCGCTGCCCGTGGGCTAAAAGTTTGCACTGGAAGTCACGGAGGTGATAAAACACAACTTTTTGCTGCTCTCCTATAAATCCAGTGCTAAAATATGATTTAAACAGTTGAAAATCCTATTGACTGAAATTAACTTCAACTGAAGGACATTTGATTTAAGAGATTCCTCTCTTCATTTTCAGATACATTATCCCATTTTAAATTATGGGTTTTATTACAAAAGCTTATTTTTACATTCATTGTAGTTCTAATTGACTTTTTTTTATCTCCAAGAGCTCCAAAGCACTGTATCAGTGATGAAAAATGTAATTTGTGATGAGCAGTTTTCCAGTTACATCCTTCCAGTGTTTTGCCTCCTTTCTATCTGTTTTTTATCACGACCTCTGAACAATAGCCTAGAAAAAGGCAGACGTAGAGTTTTTGTGCTATTTGTCCATTTTAGAGTCAGCAGGTCAAAGTTTGATGGCTTTAAAAGGAAGAAGCAGCAAGGGGACAGATCAGAGGTTGCTCAGGTGAAGGAAGTTTCTGGCTTTACCTTCACTCAAAGGTTTTTTCTTCTTCCTGATACCTGTTGTATTAGCTGCACGAATAACACATTTAGAAGAGCAATGCAATAAAAAATTGTGAAGGGTGAAGACAATAGATTTCAAGGAAAACTACATGCAGAGTGAAAATGGGTCTAACAGCAGTAATAGCACTTCCCATTCTGCAGAGTGAATAAAAGGAAGGAGAGTGCACTACATCCGCTATTGACACTTTGAAGGTCGGGGGTTTTTTTCAGGATAGCTGTAAAGGCATTAATGGCACAATTTTTTCCACAAGTGCATGAAAAAGTGGCATTAAAAAAAAGAAAAGAAAAAGATAAACCCTGGTAACCATTATAATATTGTCTTTGTGGACTAGCCAGGTATCTTGTTGTGAGAGACTTGAAAAGGAACGAGAAAAGAACTTCAATAGTCTGCTAAATAGCTGAGGTTTTATATTGCAGATAAGAGTTACATTTTCTTTCCTCTTCTTTTTTGTCTCTTGAATAGATCGAGGATAAGCATTAAAGAAACGCTGAACTATCTGAAAAGAATTTGGTTAGCTGGCAGGCAGGGATGGCAGCCAGTTGGCACACAATGGCAATAATTAGCTGTCCGGTCCTCTTCTGCTCACTTCACTGAGTTCCTGTTGGGTATAAACACTTTGGTGCTGGGAGGAAAAACTCAGATCCTCCTAACCACCTCCCCACACACTAGGGCTGATGGCTTGGCTGCCTGTCCGTGTCCCCAGGGTCTGGTCTGTTCTCCATCCTTGCCCTTGGTGAAGCGACGCCATGGCTCCGTGAACAGCCCAAGGGAAAGAAAACCTTGTTCTTCTTATGCATCTAAAAACCACAAAGGGAATTTGGGATCTTACATCTTCCCTGGGTTCGGTTGTGTTGGTGTGTTGTTTTGGCACGGTCAAGGGTTGACTTAAGTGAAATGAACCCGAGGCACATGTTCCCACCTCTGCTGTCCATCCATCTCTCCCTTCTCCTGCAGACTGCCACCGTCACAGCTTTGTGTGTGACTTGCGTGGAGAAGAGGAGGGGAAGCAGATGCTGGGAAGTGTAACTGCATCAGCTGCTCAGGCTTAATTTCATTTTTGATGACATTATTTGTAGCTACTGAGTTTGAGAATGAAAACTAACGTATTAACAGGTTCTTGAAGAAGACAAAGTGTGGTGGCTTTATGTTAATGGAGACCAAAGCTCCCAGAGCAACTTCCATGCAGTAAGTCACAGGGGGCACACAGCCTCCAGGACGTGGGTGGGCCTTTGAAGGATGAGGTTGTGAAGCAAGGAACCAGCGTTCCCTTTGGGTAAAGTTATTTAAGTGGGGGAAAATTTCTCATGATTCAAGAACTGTTCATCTCTCTCTGTTACCGTACTGAGAGAGATTAACCAAGCCTTGGCACGTCAGTGCTGATGCCCGTGGAGGCTGGCTACGTGCTACCAGATTTGCTCTCCCTTGTTCTGCAAAGCAAGCCCTGCTCTCTGCAAGGATTTCAAATGAATCATAGAATCATAGAATGGTTAGGGCTGGAAGGGACCTTCAAAGGTCATCTAGTCCAAACCCCCTGCAAGGAACAGGGATAATCTGAGATCTAATGGCTGATGTCATCTTGGAAGTCTAGAAAGCCTCCCTCACTCACCGAAAAAGAGTATAAGTGAGCCCAAATCACATGACACAACCCAGTACTACCCACCCTCCCCAAACCAGTTTTGTGTGATGTACTGCAAACAGCAGTGAAGTGTCTGCCGTGGCGAGGGCTGGTGACCTGACCGGGCATTGCCTTGTCACGCTGCTGGAGCAGCCGCTTGTGCGCAGGCACTGGTCATCTGTTCCCGTCTGCTTCTCAGCACCTCTGCAGCTCTCTTCCCTCCACCTTTATTTTATGCCCTGAACAAAAATAAAGGTGGAAATCTAGTCCTGAAAACACAGGGTTTAGATCAAATATTTTCAGAAAGCGTCAGTTTTCACACTTTCTGTTTACTTTTCCTTTGATTGTGTGTTTGGCTTCTGATAAACATCGGCTCAATCAGTGTTTGTGATGGATCTTGAAGAAATGTTTGTAGAGGAGGCCTGTCACAGTATTTACAGCTCTCACTGATCTCTCTCTTATAAATTGGAACATGCAATAGGATAAAATTTTATTGCTCATACTAGCAGCCCATGAGGTTCTCCATAGCAGAAGGGGGCAGGTGAGGCGTGAGGACACGCCACCACGCTCTGACACCTGCGCGTTGTGTGAGATCTTGGCTCACCCTGCTTTTTCTCCATTAACAGCCATGGTTCTGCTGTTCGTGGTGTGGATGAAACGCCGGGAGAAGGAGCGCCATACCAAGCAGCTCCTGATCGACCCCGAGGATGACGTCAGGGACAATATTCTGAAGTATGATGAAGAGGGAGGTGGAGAGGAAGACCAGGTGAGAAGAGCCTGCAGGTCATGGCCAAGGAGCAACTGTGCAATCTGTACTCTCAAAAAGGCAGAAACCACATTATTTTCACTGAAGTACTTGTAAGGGGTTGCGTTCACCCTTGTTTGTGCCCAGGCAGCTTTATTGGCTTCCCTAGTGTGGCATGGACATCGGTGAGAACAGCTTAAGTCCAGCATGTCACTGGGGCACTCTTCGGCACAAACAGGACCATGCTGGTAGGTCTGTGCTACATGGATTTTGCTACCCCCTTAGCCAGCTTCCTGGGGAGAGACTATAAATCAATCCATTGACACTCATGTTCAAACAATATTTCTGTTATTTCAGTCACGAAAAATGCATATTTTTCCCATTGCCCATCAGAGATCCAGCTAGCAGCTACCACCCTCTCCCAGTCCTGTGGCTGCAGGCACTTGCCTCGGCTTGCTTAAGCCTAGAGCTCCTGTGGGCTTTCCCTGCATTTACTTAATCGTCTCTAATGTGCCTTTAGTTTCTTTTAATTTCTGGACGTAGTTTGTGAGAAATGTCTAAATAGATTTGGGGATTTTCTTTTTCACTGCGAAGCATACAGTGGCAAAGCTTTGCTTGGTGACAGAGCCCTGAGCCACAGTCTGCCTGAATGCGTCAGCTTTTCTGCGGTGGCTTCTTCTTACGGACACCGATGCTGATGTTGCATGAAAACTTCCCTGGCCTGCACTCCTGGGATGTGCTGTCCCTCTGCTGTGGATGTGTTTCCTCAGCTAAAATAGCAAAGTTTGGTTGCTCATGTTTAGGTCACTGGGGTTTTTTATTCCTACCTAACACAAAGAGCCCATGACACTCAAATATGACATTCACACGAATTACGGAATCACAGAATGGTTTGGGTTGGAAGGGACCTTAAAGACCATCTCGTTCCAGCCCCGCTGCCATGAGCAGGGACACCTTCCCCTCGATCAGGTTGCTCAAAGCCTCATCCAGCCTGGCTTGTGACTTACGTGACTCCCATGGTTGGTGTCAGTGAGTCCTGAGGTCAGTGGTTGGGGCTGGTGCTTAAGGAGTAGACAGAACCACTGCAGCACATCCTGCTGCGGAGGTCCTGGCAGCATCTGAAGGTGAGCGGCTGAGCCTGGCGAGAGCCACCGCGGGGCAGCCGAGGCAGGGACTCTTCCCAAAACTTGTGAAGGAAAAATCTTTGCAATTAGCATTTCTTTTTTCTTGTCTCTGACAAGTTATTTGTAAATATTGCTCCTGGAGATTCAATCATCCCCGTCTGAGCAGAAGAATAGTTTTACCGGTAGAACAAAGTACTGTTACAAGCGTTCAAACTACCTGAAGTATCTGGTTTCAGGCAACTACACTGTAGGCTTAAATATTTTAGAAAGGATTCGTTAAAAATAACAGCAAAGGAAGAGCAGCAAAACACCATTACCTACATGAATACATTTTTAATGAAATATTACCTGGTTCTCATTCCTTGATAGAAATCTATTCTGTTGGGATTTTTCACAAGCAGAAAGAACATAATTACTTTGAAAGGCCTACATGCAAAATGCAATACACATTTTAATGTTTTAACTTCTGTACAAATGTAATTGCAACAATATGTCTACCAACGCTCTGTCTTTACATTATATTATGTATTTCATCAAAAAGTTATGCACATACTTACGCACACGCAAACCGAAGCCAATTTTTTATCCGAAAGCTTTAGACGCCGTGTAAAATATTCAGAAAGTATTTAAATATTTGATTTAACTTCAGTATTAGGATACACTCTTAGGAGGTCGATTGTATGAGCTACTCAGAGGTCAGGTTCATCTGTAATTTAGATAGTTAGAGGTGCTACGTACCTGGGGATAAGATTTGCCATCAAAATTCAGCTGAAATAGGATTAGACCCCTCGACTTGTTTGTACGTTGGGTGAGTAGATGATCTGAACAAAAAGCTCTTGGTTTTACTCTGTGCCTTTCCATTTGTCACAGGATTACGATTTAAGCCAGCTCCAGCAGCCAGAGACCATGGATCACGTGCTGAACAAGACACCTGGAGTCAGAAGGGTGGATGAAAGACCTATTGGTGCTGACCCGCAGTATCCTGTAAGACCAGTAATCCCACATCCAGGGGATATTGGTGACTTTATTAATGAGGTATGTTCTGTAGAGTGTCCTGTGCCGCATCTTAAAGGCTCACGCAGCCGGCTCACATCAGCTATGCAACGTTTTCCTGGCTGCGTGGCCCAAGCGATGCTACTACTCGCACGAGGAGTCTGATCAAAGCCAGGGGAACAATTGGAATGAGCAAAGGATGCAGGACTTGACCTAAGGAAGTCACTGAGTCTGTAAAAAAACAAAGTGCAAACAAAAAGCTCACCATTTCTGCAGCTATCACAAACACCATGCTTTTCAGCATCCAGGCAGCATTACCTGATCCCGCCCTCCCTTGGATTATGATGAATGTTGCAATGCTGTCAGTAAAAACATTGTCTGGACATGGACAAAGGAGCGTTGTCCGGGTGGGGGGTGGCGGCAGGGCAGCTGCCTGGATTGTCCAAAGCCAAAGGCACAATTTGTGGCTCCTGGACTTGTAATTATTTCACCAGTCTGTGCCGTCCTAGTGAGCTCTATTTGGTCTAAAACCTCAAAGAGTTTACAGAACAGAGAGATTGAACTCAGATCAGAGAGGGTTTCTTTGTTTTGTGTTAGATTACTGCTCCTTTATCTGCTTGTGCAAATATCTTTCCATTTAGGATTTCTTATCTCATTTTTAGTTTTGAGTGATTGAGTGGTTACAAACCAATCAATGCATTATTTCCTCCCAAGACAAAGCACACCATCCATTTCCTAAGTCAGAAAAATAAACGTTATAGCAATTTAATTCTATTACTGTATCCATTTCCTGCTGTGCTTTTTCTCATTTGCATCATTAAAATTGCTTCTTCCTTTGTCCCTGCCCATCCTTCACGCACACATTTACACACATCCATGCATTCAAAGACTCGCTCTTACACGTGTTCCAGCTGCTATCCACTGCAGTAAAACCTATTCCATCTCCCCACGCTGAGACTGGAGTTTCCAAAGGTGTGAGTGCAGAACATTTTGCTTTATTGCAGGTCTATTCCACTCGACTTTTCCCGACACTAGGCTGCAGCAAAGCAATTTTTTTCTCCATATCCTGAGGCCATCTCTGTGTCCTGCCTGCTCTGCTGCCCACAGCACACAGGAACAGCAATGCTTCCCAACCCTCTGCCCAGGATTTCACACCCCAAGTCTCTCCTAATTGCAGAGGAAAAAGCATATTTTGCTAGGAGTGATTTTTTTTCTTCCTAAAGGAATCAGAATTATCAAAATTAAAATCACGGTTCTTGGCAGGAGAGGAAGGGTGCTGTTGGTTCTTTCAGTGGCCAAGCTAGGCAACAACAGGCAACCCCAGAAAGGACACAGCATCCAGAGCAGAGAGCTTTCCAGATCCAGAGCTGGATCCTTGGAAATGACTCCCCTCCCGCTCCATCCGGCTCTTTTACAGATGTGCTGGAGTTTGTGGATGTTCTGCCGGGGGCAGCCGGGCACAGGGAAGCCCCAGGACCCTCATTTTGTCCCCATCCTCATTTAGCTTCTCACCATCCACTTTTAGCTTCGCTGCAGGGATCCCGAGCATCCCACCAGCCCGACCCTTGCCCCGACACCCTTCCTTAGCACCATCACCATCAAACCCCGCGGCGGGTATTAACACCGTGTGTTTGCCCCCAAGGGCCTGCGTGCGGCGGACAACGACCCCACGGCCCCCCCCTACGATTCCCTGCTGGTCTTCGACTACGAGGGCAGCGGCTCCACCGCGGGCTCCGTCAGCTCCCTCAACTCCTCCAGCTCCGGGGACCAGGACTACGACTACCTTAACGACTGGGGGCCCAGGTTCAAGAAACTGGCGGACATGTACGGGGGAGGCGAGGAAGATTAAACTGACCTCACGTTATTTAAAATTTAAAAAAAAAAAAGAAGAAGGAAAAAAAAACAATTAAAAAAAAAAAAAACAAACCCACAGACGACAACATTGACAAAAAGAGCCGATGCAGAAGCAAGAACTGTACAGATGTGGCAGCTTTTTTAATTAATATCCCCTGCTGACTGTATTGTTATTTTTAGTGGTGATATAGGAGGTTTCTTTTTTTTTTCCTTTTTTTTCCTTTCCAATTTTTTTCTTAGAATATTGAGCTGTCTCGCATGAACACTTGTCTCTGCTGCAGGTTTTTTTTTGTTGTTTTGGTTTGGTTTTTTTAATGTCAGCTGGGATATTGCTCGTTTATCTGCTTTATGACTAAAGAGAGTGAAAGGCACTCTGTCTTAACTTGAATTTCTTAGAACAGAAGCACTGTTTTTAAAATATATATATATATATATTTGAAAGTGCCTTTTGGTGCATGTATCAGATCCCTTCAATCTCAGGAGTGATGAAAACAAACATACAACCATCCTGGGCAGCACTCCC